ATTTGAGAGTGCACACACAAGCAGGGAGGAGGGTCAGAGAGGGAGAAGCAGACTCCCCACTGAGCAGGGAGCTTGATGTGGGGCTCTGTCCCAGGACCCTGAGATCATGACCTGAGCCTAATGAAGGCAGATGCTTAACCAACTGAGCCACCCAGGCACCCATTATTTTGTAACTATAGTTACTTATAGGAAAGATACTGACTCCAGCTGTTTTGTTGAATGGTTATTGAGTTGCTTTTAGTTGACATACTGGAGAAAAAAAAAATCTCCACACTCAACATGAAGCTTGAACTCACAACCCTGATTGAGTCACATGCTCCAAGCCAGCCCGCCCCAGGAACAAGTTTTAACACCTTTTTGTCTAACTTGTTAGAAGAAAACTAATTTGTGGGCAGCCCAGGTGGCTCAACGGTTTAGCGCCGCCTTTAGCCCAGGGCATGATCCTGGAGACCCCAGATCGAGTCCCACGTCAGGCTCCCAGCATGGAGCCTGTTTCTCCCTCTGCCCCTGTCTCTGCCTCTCTCTCTGTCTCTCATGAATAAATAAATAAAATCTTAAAAAAAATCTAATTTGTGTATATTTTTTATTTTGATTTAATCCTTTGTCTAATTTATCTAAGTAGTATACGCAGGATATTATGCTGAGCAAACATATCTCAATCCTAAGGAATATGTGGAGGGTTTGGTTCAGCAGGTTAAATTTTTACCGTTTTAACGAGGTTAGTGAGACTCCATCTATTCCACTTATATTTGGAATGAATTGTAGGTCTTGATCCCTGAGAGGAGATCTTTTCCCTTCTCATTTCTTATTCATGTTATAAGCTGCATAGTAGAAGCCCTGATACCACCCTTGCATTTCTGTGATGGATCCTCACTTTGTAAGACATTTTAGGATGCTTTATTTTTTTTTCAATGTGCTGTTTCAATCTACTACTTACGATTTTAATTCCTATCATGCTTTGTCAGGTCTTAAATCAATTCTTCAGAAGTATCTGGAGGCTCGTTACATGCTCAAGTTTAACCCTTGTTTGTCATGTGATCATCATTCATCCGTGAAAATACGTGGGCTTCTTCTTATTTAGTAACTGATCTATTGTAATCTTATTTCCAACCAGTTTTAAGGCTTACGCCATTTCCCTTCATAGGCTGGTTTATATTAATATTAATTTTTATACCTCATTTTTAACAATTTCCTATATTCCTGATTTACTTTCTTTTCTTGAATTCCTCATCTGTTTCAGGCTGTGACTCCCCACTGAGCCCCATAACCTCTCTGTGGTCCACTGCCTCTGCTGTACAACGTGAGGGGTCTCCCCTTTGTAAGGGGGTCACACAATAGCTGGACATACACTCCAACTTTGGAATTTTTTTTCCTCTTTTCAGGCTCATGTTTACTAACAATTAGTACCAAGAACATAATATACCACCACACTATACTATACCACCAAATATTAGATGTTTTTCTTTTTGTTGGTGGGGCCACCACCGAAACCTTCCGGTAGTAGTGGCTCTGGTGTCCCAACCAGATCCTGGAAGATCAGGTAGCAGAATTTCACATCTTGCCCACCCCAGCTTACTCTGACTTTTGTCCTAATCCTCTAGGGCTGCACTGTCCACTAAGGTCACCATTAGCTACATGTCCCAACTGAGTGTTTAAATTGTGGCTGGTCCCCACTGCAAGTGTCGGAAGTATCAAGTGCCGCATCTTGAAAACGGTATCTTACATTTCTTTGTACTGACATTTTTTACTAGTTTCTTTTTACTATTTCAATGTGTCTACTAGTAAACTTAAAAATTACATATGCGACTGCACCGTACTGCCTTCTCCCCTCCTCCCTCAGCTCCCTTCCCGGACTACATGCGAGGCTCTGGGAGCACAGACACCACTATCTTCCTGGAACCCTCAGACGACAATAGCACCATGATGCCAGGTCAGTGTTAGTATTTATTTTAAAAATACACAAAATATAAATTTTTTACATCAAAGTGTAATGATCTCACTTATACATTGTTCCATACTTACCTGGTTTTGTTTGCATCCTTATGCAAACATTAATAGATGGATTTGATTCTGATTTTTTGCTAGGGTTCATGTAAACAGCTGAGACTTCTACATAAAGTGGTTTTAAAAGGTAAGGTGGCCACAGAAACCCAATGGTGAAAGAAGAATTCGATTTGGTTTGTTTAACGAAACTGGCAGAAGACTTAGCACACAGGTAATCAAAGACTAAATTACTAGCTTCTAGGCATTTTAAATATTTAAAACCTTGAGGTTTTCTTCATCTTGTAAACATAACTTAGACCTTGTTGGCATTAAGTTTGAAAAGTAAAATATTAAACCATGATTTTCATCAGCCTGCCTGTGGTCAGTATACACTCTCTTTATTATGAGAATGAAACCAAGTAATAAGCAAAATACATCAGGAATTTCAAATTATACTGTAAAGAAGGTCCCGGCTGCCCTCTCTCCTGGGAGCGATCTAACTTATGCTGACCCTGCCACTGGCTGAGGATGATCCCCGCTGTCCACCAGACAGCACAATGCCCCAGCCGCGCCACGGTCAGTTCCTCTTGCTCCGTGTCTTCTGAAGCAGTAAGACTGCCTCCACCTCTGCTGGCTCCGCCGTCCTTCATTGGGCTTGGATTCACTGGGTCAGTGGTTTGTGACTCCTGTCAAGACTGTACTGTCCCTTTAAGGTACCACATGCCCCCATAGCTTACACAGCAGTCCTACGGAGAGAGAAATGTGTTAGGGGCAGAACTTACATCCTGGACAGAACACCATTACTCAATTTAGGATTAATGGCTAGAAGACAGATGGCGACTCAAGACCTGCCTGACCACAGGCTGTGGGCCTCAGAATCTCTCCCTCCCAGGGGTGTCCAAAAAGTGGGGAACCATAAGTGAATGTGCTTTGTAAGCATAAGATTAAAGAAAACACAGGTCAAGAAGCTGACCCAGAACAAAGGTGCCTCGTTAACAGCACTATATCATGGGCTCCCTCAGATCATCACGATGTTTTCTGAAAATACGGTATTTGTGCCACAGTCACTTCATAGAAGCATTACACGTAGTATACTTACTTTCATATACTAGATAAATTATATATTCCTTTTTAAACTAAATTTTAGAAATCGGGTCTACTGAAAGCAAGTGCTACGAGATTCAGAAGGGGAGGGGAGACTCTCACAGAGGCCCGGTGAACCTCAAAGGATGACCCACTAGACTATTTTTTGAAGGCGGTGTCCACATCTTAGTCCACTCCTGCCCGCACCCACCGTACCAGCACCCAGCCTCAGTGGTTGTAGAGACCCACCTGGCTGGGGAGGGGCTGGGAGAAGCCAGATTTAACAAAGATCCTGCCGACCTCCTCCTGAGCGCCCCCCACACGGGGGCCCAAACCCTCTGGGCCTGGTTACACAAAGTGGGTGTACCTTTAGCACTTTATCCACCTCCTGTTTACTCAGATCTTCTCCACACTCTTGAGTCAACCTCGACTGGATCATGTTCCGGCGTACCCGGTAATTTTTGGAAAAGATTTCAAGCAAAACCTGTCGGTGCTTTAGTAGCAAAAATATGTTATTTTGGAAAACAATCACCTAAAAGAGAAACATCCCCAAACAAGAAATGCAAAGCTATGGACCTAACTCCACATTGCAGTCTGTGTGCCCAGGACTTCCTTTATGATAAATACATCTGACCAACCTGTCCTGTTGAGATGCCAAGAAGAAAAAAGCCAGGGAAGTGCCAGCAGAGGAAAAGCAGGTTAGACATGGTGTTTCATGATAAACAGGAGTGGTAACTGCTTTAGGAGGTGGGAAAGGCACCATCTAAGCTGCACGAAGACAGGGCCAGGTCCGGAGAATCCAGACAGGCCAGGGCCAAAAGCTTTGTTTTGCATATCTTTAAAAATACACACTTTTTTTCTCTTAATTGTCAAATTCTTTGAACTTCCTATTCCTTCAGGACTAGAAAACTCAGATGCCACCTATCCTGGCCAAGAGCACAGAAGCTGGCCCGGGAAGAGTTGCCGCACTGCTCTCACTCCAGGGCCCATCACAGGCCCAGGGCACCGGCCTTCCCCTCCATCCTGGCCTCCCCGTCGTCAGCCCCACTAAAGCAAGAGGGGGAATGCTCCCCCTCCCCTCCACACCTTAGGGACAGGACCTGGATGAGGGCAGACTGGTGTTTTAAACTGCTAAAACAGTTCAGCAGTTTAATCTTAACCCTTAAAGTTTAGGTAAGTTCATGACTTAAGGAAAATTTCTGGACCTCGGAGTCCCTGACTATATAGACACGGCTGCTGGTTTAACTCCTATTTTGTCTGCTGGACCCTCATGCCCCTTCCTGCTGGGGTGACAAGAGGCAAAATGGACCAATTCCTCTTAGAAGCCAGCACCTAAGATCTGATAAGAGATTCTTACTGCCAGAGGCCACCTGAGAAATGTGGGGCCGTCCCTGCTTCACGAGTCCAGCTGGAAGAGAGAATCCTCAGGGAAGGTCTATAAACCTCTAAGTACCTAGGACCCTATCCTGTTCATAGGGAGCTGAATTAAATCTCTAGGGTCAATCCTGAGTCTATAGCTTTTAAAAAAGGACTCTGGCACCGGGGTGGCTCAGCCGGTTAAGTGGCTGCCTTCGGCTCAGGTGATGATCCCGGGGTCCTGGGATCGAGCCCCACACTGGGCCCCCTGCTCAGTGGGGAGAGCGTGCTTCTCCCTCTTTCCATTCCTGTTCTCTCTTTCAAATAAATAAAATCTTTAAAAAATAAAAAGAGGGTTCTAATGTAGCTGGTCCAGACTGGCAAATCAGGAACCACTGGCTTTGGCTCACATCACTGGCACATCCAGCCTGTTTTAACAATACACAGAGACATGGAGCCAGAATATTTAAAACTGGGAGTGGATGGATAATCTGAGGTGTAAATTACTATACTCTGGGGCTCCCCAGAGGCCCGGCCCCACCTCTCTGCTCTTGAGATGGCAGGAGAGGTCACCTTACCTGATCGCTCATGTCTCCAGACTCCCAGAGGGCGAACACCTTCTGCTCATCTGGGGACGCAGCAGTCTGGGGGGGAAACTAACCAAGGCCCAGGCGTGAGTTGTCTTTACCACAGGGGTCCACCTGCCCTGCCCCTCACCCCTCCCAGTCTGCATGAGCCCCATTCAGGGAATGAATCGATGGGCGACGGTGGGTTCCAATTCCAGCTCCTCCCACTCACTAGGGCTTCAGTGGGACAGAGTGGGGCACCCACAGCCCGAAGTCCCCAGGTGCACGAGACAAGGAGGGGATCAGGCTTGTTTCTCCTGCTAGCTTGGCATTAGCTCACCTCCAACATCCAGCATCACCCTACCCTAAACGTAAACCCTCAGAGGTGTCCTAAGAAATACTCCCCCATACCTCCACCTCCCTAGGAAGTTCCGTTCCGGGGGATTCCTTTCCACCCCTTCCCTCCAGGGCTGTGTCAGTACGGGCCCAGCACACCAGTGGGTTTGGCAGCGTCCGAAGGTGGACCAAGAAAAGGGTGACCAGGCTCAGGGCACCCGGTAGAGTGGTTTCCAGCCGTGACACAATCCAAGCAACAGCAGCGGCGACTACCAGCCACAGGAAGCCGCAGGGGGACTAAATGTACAATATCATTCGATCACAGAAAACCGGAGGTAGGAGCAGGGTGTGGCAGCCCCGACTCTCCAGGGGAGAATCCAGCTCAGAGTTTACTCAGGTCCAGGTCACACCTCTAATAAGGAGCAGAACTAGGGTCAAACCCACATCTGCGTCTCACTCTCCCTGGACCTCAGCACCCTTGTGTGAAAAACGAGGCTAAGCATATTGGGGGGAATTGGGGCTTATCTTCCTTTGGGGGAGGCGGGTGGGGGGGGGGCTATCCTAGATAGTCCCTACATCAGGATCACAGGGAGGGAGGTCGATGGGAGAAGCAAAAAGGTCGGTGATCCCCCGGGGACACCAGCCCCACCAAGAGGAAGGAGCAGGGCCAGTGGGGCCTGAGAGTGGCCACTTCACATCCCTCAGCAGCCCGAGGCGGCTTTGCTAACCCTGGGCAGGTGCCCTCCCCTGCCTGGCCCAGCTCAGAAACGTGACCCTGGAGCTAACCAGACCCATTTGCTGGGTAGGCCAGGGTGACTCCACATTGGGCAGGGCCCCTAACCCTAGTACCTTGTACAGGAAACCGCACCAAGGAGGCTCCCTGCCACAAGGGCCAGATCTCCTGGGGCAGCCCGGGCAGCAAAGCTCTGAGGGCCTCTCGTCCTAGTTTCTGCGTCTCACGCACACAAAGATGGCCGTCGCCTCAGATCACCCGAAACTGCAGGTGCTTCTGACCTGGGATTGACAATGTCAATAGCCCCACACCACACAGATCTGCTGCCAGGCCTTGGCAGAGCCTTCAGGGAGAGAATGACCAGCACCACCTCCTGGAGCCACGGCCGGGCCCTCTTTACCCTCAGCTGAGGGAAATGTCCAACAGCCTCCCCGCTCCTGTGTTTCTTCCACTCCGGGCCCCTCCTGCTGCCGGGACAAGCGGCCCCTTCCGCGGGCCTGGCCGTGCTGGTCAGCTAAGCCCTACTAGGGCGGGAGGCCTGCCAGAAGCCAGGCACGAGTCTTGGGCTCTGGTGACAGGCTCAGTGCATCTCTGTTAAAGCAGAAGATTTCAGCTCAGCAGCCACTACAGGCTCCAATTCAGCTCAGCACTTCCTGGACGTATGACCTTTATACAAGCTCATTTCACTTCTCTCAAAGTTGGTTTCTACGCAGGCAAACTGCAAAGAGCAAGTGATGACAGAAGTGCACTCAGCCTGAAACATGACCAGGCCGACAGGAACAAGAGGTGCCGGCAGGATAGGATCCTGCGTGGACCAAGGCCCTGCTGTAGCTCAAGCAACGGGCCAGCACTGCTGGGGGGGAGGGGGGCCTGGGCCCCATCCTTGGACACCGAAGCCAACATCTGCCCACGTGACATGAGGGTGTGGAGCCTAAGAGGCCCAAGGTCACACAAAGCCACCACAAGATGCAAACCCAGGTCACTGGTCCTCCCAAGTTCCCATGCGGCCTCTAAACAACAGGTTCCCCCAAAGCAAGCAGGGCAAGGCCACTCCAAAGTAACTCAACTCATTTCCTTTCTGCCAGGAAAGCTGCTGCCTGCCCAGGAGCCCTCCTGAGGGGTGGCCTTGTGTGTATGCCCATCTGGGGGCGCAGGCTCTACTTACAGGCACCAGTATTTGCTTGCACCCGGCGGCCAGCACCGTGTCCTGCAGCATGCGGTCCGAGATGCCACTGAACAGTGTGTGACCAGGTGGCAGGCTGGCCAAATGCAGGTTGAAGAGGCGCTTGAGTTCACTCAGCGTGAGCACAAACTGTCTCTGAAAGGTGGCCTCCACGAAGGCCCTCAGTTCCTGGGCCACGGGGGTGCTGGCACAGCCAGGGGGCGGGTGCCCATTGAAGCTGTCCCCACCTGCCGCCCGCCCACTAGGCAGCCCATTGGCCAGCCTGCTGTGGAGGCCGCCACCAAGAGAGGTGTCCATGGGCTCCTCGTCTTCCTCTGCGTCTCGTTCTTCCTCTTCCTCTCCCTCCTCACTCATGGGCTCCTCCTTGATCCGCACACCAGGCAGGACCTCGGACACCCGCATCTGCTCCTTCCTCCGCTGTAGCTCCCGTTCCAGCAGCGCGTGGTTCTGCTGGGCCTTACTTTTGGCCACTTGGACCCGCTGGTCCCCAGAGATCAGCCCAGCAGGCCCTGCGGGGAGAGGCAGCGCTGCTCAGCAACGGCACAAAGAAGGGCCCTCCGTCCACGGACAGCCCCTCCCAGCCCAACAAGAGGAGCAAGGCACCTAACAATGCAGGCTGGCCAGGGCTGAAGCCAGCGGTATAGTCCTGCCTCTCACCCCCACATGACCCAGGAGGGATTTAGCTACCCCAGCGATGGGAGAAATAGAACTGGGGAAAAAACAGAATCCCGCGTTGGGGGATTTAAACCAGAAGGGGTTACTACTGAGTTAGTCCCTGCCAGTTCCTCCCGTCCCACCGCCACCTTCTGCCGACTGAGGAAGGCCTGCAACCCAGCACAGCACAGCCCCAGAGCTGAGAAGCCCCCAGTACCCGAGGCCAGGGATTTGGCCACTGGACAAGCCTTAAGGTGAGGTCTGTGGGGAAGAGGGAGGAAGGCACAGAAAGCACAACTAGTGGGGAGAGTCACACATCCCTCTGTGGCCCCGAGCCCCGACAAGCCCCAGTGAGGCAGGCCTCCCAGAGCCAGAGTTGGGTTAGGGGCCTGCCTAGTCCAAAACCTCTCGCACACCTGATTGTCCATCTGGCTTCTTTGGCAAGGTTTCCTTCACAAGATTATAGACTTTTTCTAATCTGAAAAGAAGAATAAACTCTTTTAACTTTATGCCACGTCCCCTGTCACCTGCCTCACTAGAGCAATAGCTGCCACCAAGGCCAGGGACATCCTGCTGCCTGAGGATGCCATGTGCCCAGAGCCCTGTCCGCCCTCCCCCACAGCGCACAGGCCCCGCACCCACTGGGAGCCCCTGGGGCTCCTGCTCCTTCACAACCCCTCAGCTCTGTGGGATGGCTGTGCCAGGCCTGTGCTGCGGGGGGGAGGGGGTTCTAGGATCAATCCACAGTGTCCACTGGAGCAGAGGAAGGGGTGCACGCGGCCCCAGCCCAGACATGACCCAGGGGGCGAGGTGGCTGTGGACAGCCCAGCAAGCCCTTACTTGGCCTGGATGCCCGTCCACAGCATATGCTGCCGCTGGACCACATCTGGATGTTTCTTGATGAACTCCCCATCGTAAGGCAGTATGAACTCCCAGCCTTTGTTGATCCTCACTACGGCCATGTGCTCCAGAAAGTCCTTCACATCCTCTGTGCAGAGCTGGGGGCAACAACAGAGGTGAGGCCCGCAGGCCTGACAGGCCACCAGCCCCCATTCCCTGCAGTGGCAGGGCCCGGGCCTCCCAGCATCACTTACTTTGGTCACTGCTGCCACCTCTTTCCTTACCACCCACCGGCTCTGCGTGAACTTCCACATCTGTGGGAGAAAAACAAGCATGTTTCCAGGGGGCAAAGACGGATCACTGGTAAGACCCTCCCCCAGGCCCCTGTAATTGTCCTGGAAGCCTGGGATTTCCCCACTAAGAACTCAGGTTTGACTAGACCCTCTCCCAGGCCCTGCTTTGGCAGTGTCCACACGAACAGAGAACAGCTGGCAGGCAGTGGCAGATGGCACTTGTGCTTCGGCCAACAAGCCGAGGATAAAGGATCCACTGCACTTTGACTCCGAGACAAAAATAAACTGCATCTGCATCTAGATACTATCTGTCCAGAGAAGCTGGGACATCCAATTGGGAAAAGATGCTCGCACTCTTTTTGAACAGCTCAAGGGCTGCATGAACACGTCATGGTCACTGTGGACAGCCTAGGAGACCGAGGTCCCCAAGTTCAAAGCACAAAGCTGAACTTTGTGAACTCCCTCATGGGAGGCAGTGCAAATCCAGCAGCCGGGGTTCAAACCTATGAGAGGGATACCCTGGCCAGGACTCAGGTTCTGGATAAGGGCAGGGCATGGGGCAGGGCAATGGACTGGAGGAATGAGCTAACTGAGGAGTCGCAAAAACCCACAGCAATAATGCAGGGAACAGGTAGGAGAGAAGCAGGCCTCCCGGGACTATGGAGAACACGACTGTCAGCCCCACCCAAAGCCAGAACTATTCAGGGATTTGGGCCCATGGTACCAGACTGTCCACAAGCATTCATAATGAGCCAGAAATCTGGTTTGTACCAGAGTCCACCTATGGCCTCTGGTTTGTAATCCCCAGGCCAGAGGAACTCCCGTGTTCTTACAAAGCCCAAGACTCCAGGATTCTGAGTTGAAGGACAAAGAAAACAGGGTCCAGAGCTCTGCCCCCAGCCTGGCCACACATACCTGCCCTTCTCCCACTGCCCAAGCCAAGATTCCAAAAGCCCTGCACTGGCCCCAACCCGCTCCCATGACCCTGCCCAACCAAGCAAAGGGCAGAGCACTGAGCACTTACAACAAAGTCTCGACCCCGGCAGAGCACCTCGGCAGGCACGCCGCTGTGAGGGCTGGAAGAGTCCTTGGGATACAGGATGTCACTGCCAACGAGAGCAGGAGCAGCAGGTCAGTCCCATTCCTCAGCCCTTCTGCCTCCCGCAGTGCCCGTGCCCCAGCCCAGTCCAGGCCTCTCCAACACCGGCCAGTGCAGCTTCTATTGGGGCTTCCTGGAGCCTGGCTCTGTGAACATGTCTGTAGAAAAGCAGCACTCTTAAAACACCCCCCTCCCCCAAGAGTTCCTTCTGTCAACCCTTCTTGACTTTGCATGCACACATTAGCCCAGCCTGAGAGCCACCGCAGTCAGGGAGGACAGGGGCTCAGAAACAGGCCAGCCTGAGACAGTGAGTCCCACAGGCAAGGCAGCTGTGAGGCCTGGAGAGACTGGCTGGAAAGCAGGACACGAGGCCTTCACCACCTGCTGGAAGGGATGGGAGCAGTGTGAGTAGGAGCAAGAGGGGTCAGGGGCTGGGACCTGGATGGGACTTGGATGGGCCCTGAGGCATGAGTGGGGCGGAAGCCTCTGGAGAGAAGGGAAACACCAGGCAAGCCTAGAGAACTTCAGGGCCTGGGGGCACAGGGTGCTGAGGCTTACGAGTATAACCTTGACCAACTTCAGCCACAGACGCTGTCACACTCACACCACCCCATACCATCCTATGCCTGGGGTGCCTCTGCTCTCCTGCCCCCTCCTTCTGCTAGGAGACTTCACTCCTGCCTCCTCAATCCTACCTGGCAACCAACTAATACCCTTCCTTTAAGGTTGAGCTCTGTGTCCACTCCCATCCCAGAAACACTCTTTGGGGACAGGGACCTGGCTTATGTTGCTCATCACTGCCACACAGAGAAGGGAGCTGCTAGGTAGGTACTGAACGAATGGATAAACGTGGTGCGTGCCCTGCCCTGGGCTCATCTGCAATGGTGCCCAGCTTTGCCCCACACAATTCCCAAGGGCAGGGACAGTGTAGGAATGACAGCGGAGCACAGGACACAGAACAAGCAATCACGACATAGTTCATGAACAATGTGTAAATTTTGCATCACCTCCACACAGAAACAGAAGGGACACGGCAAGAAAGGAGCGCCACCCACAGGCCACGGCGTGGCAGTGAGGGCTTGCAGCAGGAGCGGAAGAACCGGGGAGCCAGTAAACACATGGCCCCAGAGGCCCCATGTCCAGGTTACAAGGATGGACCCCAGGCTGAAAGTGCAGAAGCACCAGGGCCACAGGCACTGCTGGGCCAAGAGCTCAAACCTCAGCTCCGGGACCGCCTTGCTGCCAGATGTTTGGCAAGTGTCTGCCTCTCTGGGTCAGTGTCCTTGAGTGAGGGGACGGCCCCTCCTGGCTCTCACCCATTCGTGACATAAATATACCTGGGTGGTCCCACTTAATGAGGGATGTGACATCCAACATCCAAAGACCTTCCATAATCAAACACGTGTGTGGCACAACAGCTGGAACTACTGACAGACACTGGACAAGTTTCCCAGTGCAAGGGCGCCATCAGGTGGCAGTAACGTGAACAGACTCTACAATTCAACCAGCTTGGCCAACCAGCTGAAATGACAGGAGCTTCTGCAAGGAGTTAAAAAATTTGGAACAAATTTTTAAAGAGATTGTTCACCTTACACCATATCTTCTAAAAAGTGAGCCCTTACTAGTATACCTTATGTCACACTATTTAAAATAAATATAATTCGGGGCAGCCCCAGTGACTCAGCGGTTTAGCGCCGCCTTCGGCCTGGGGTGTCATCCTGGAGACCTGGGATTGAGTCTCATGTTGGGTTCCCTGCATAAAGCCTCCTTCTCCCTCTACCTGTGTCTCTGCCTTTCTTTCTCTTTCTCTCTCTCTCTCTGTCTGTCAAGAATACATAAATCTTTTTAAAAAAATAAAAATAAACATAATTCATACAAACATGAAATGCACCCACACTTACTACCAAGGGTCTGAGATATGCTAAGCATTATACCGAGTGTCAGGGACACAAGGTAGGGTCAGAATAGAAGTCCCTACTACCCTCATCCCTCTTGAAAATAATGGTCTGGTGGAAGGGTCACAGAAGAGAAACTACTGGAAGGCATCAAGCCACATGCTCCAAACCCCACGGGACACATGAAACAAAACTCACACCCAGATGCATCTTAATGAACTGTGGAAAGCCACAATAAGAGAAAATCTCAGAGAGAGCCAGAGGGGACCAAGGGACTCATCACTAGAAACAATGGGAATGAGAACGCAATGAAACTATGTCAGTGTGTGGAAGGGAAACAATCAACCTCGAATCCTACACTCAAGAAAAATATCCTTTAACAATAAAGGTGGAGGGCAGCCACAGTGGCTCAGCGGTTTAGCACCAGGGCGTGATCCTGGAGACCTGGGATCGAGTCCCATATTGGGCTCCCTGCATGGAGCCTGTTCTCCCTCTGCCTGTGTCTCTGCCTCTCTCTCGGTCTCTCATGAATAAATAAAATCTTAAATCAATCTTAAAACAATCAATAAAGGTGGAATAGATATTTGCAACCATACAATACCCAAGGAACTCCTCCCCCCTGCAGATCTTCTTTAAGGGAACACCCCAGCAATTTTTGGCAGGAGATAATTATCCCAGATAAAAACTCAGATGCAGAAAGGGATGATGAGCAAAATCAAAAAGAAAATATGTGAGATCTGAAGAACACTGACTGGATAAAATAACATCTTGTGGATTTTAAACTACAATTAAAAATATAGAAATAAAATAGAAATATAATGGCACATGAGTTGAGAGGAAGATAAACAGAAAGCATTCTAAGGTCTCTGAATTGTACTGGATTAAGAGTAAAATACAGCCATTAATATAACTATGATCAGTTATGAATGCACTCTGAATCTGTAGGCTACTCACTAAAAGAGCCCAGAAAGGGTAACTTCTAAATTAGCAGGGAGATATGGAGTAACAAAAAAAGGATCAAGCAGCAGGTAAGAATGGATTTAAAATGCAGGACAACCAGTGCTATGGTAGACTTAAACCCAAAACATCAGTAATCACGAACTGAAATGCATCAGATGGTCCCATGCAGAGGAACTCACCTCTTCACCACCCAGTTTCCCTGGACCAGCATCGCCACCTTCTGGATGCCACGCAGAACAGCCACAGAATCGATGGAGGGGCCTAGGAGGCTCATCAAGTTGGCAAAAGGCATGACCTTCACTGAGGAGGACACAGATGTCAGACAAGCGAAGGGGCCCTTCCCTCTCCCTCACCAAGTCTATACAGCTTCAGGCTCATGTAACCACTCCAGCGTGTGAATAACACTGACACATGGGTAATAATAAGAGCTGACTTCACTGGCTGCTTGTGCGGGCACCCCACCTTACTGAATTCTGGAGGAAACACCCCAAGGTGTGCTCCTTAAAGGTAAGACTACTATGGGGTGTCTGGTTCAGCTGGTAAAGTAGTGACTCTTGATCTCAGGGTCATGAGTTCAAGTCGCATGTTTGGTGTGGAGTGTACTCAGAAAAAAAAAAAAAAGGTAAGACCATGACTCCTGGGGCCCAACAAGGGCCCAGGGAAGGCCTGTTGGCAGCGAGGGCAGTGGCCTGGCACCCCAGCAGCCCCAGGCAGAGCTGGGAGCTCACCTCTGCTCAGGCACCTGGAGATCCTAGAAGTGGTATCTCAGGAAAGGAGCCCAGGGCCTGGGATTAAGCTCTGAGGTTCAGGACTCACCCTACCCTACAGGTTCTGGCCCCCAAGTCCTCTGAAAGATACCAGTCCCTACTGGGTGCAGCCTGGTGCAGGTACCACAAGACAGTGCAAGGCTCTGTATAAGCCATGAAAAAGCCTCATCTCCGCCCTCAGGAGCTATCCTAGTTCCCTAGGCTCGGGAACATCAGTGGCCTGCCCAGGCTCACAGCAGGGCAGTGGCCCAGCCGGAATGAGAACAGGAATCAGAGCCTGCTGAGGGAGCCCAACAGGCCACTGTGGTGCATTCCTTCTAGGCAAGGTCAGAGCCGTCAAGCCAGGCCCGTGCTGAGTCCTTAGTCTGTCCTAGAGTCCATTTCCCCAGGAGGTCGTAGGCCTGGGTTCCCCCTGGAGGAAGTGGGTGTCCACCCACCATTCTTCATCAAGATCTTGATCTGATCAGCCAGGGGCAAGGTGCGCAGCTGGGCCATGGACAGGACGTTGCTGGGGGCCACGGGTTTGTCTCTGGTGAAAACAGAGACAGCGGGTTAGAGGAGAGGGTGAGAGGAAAGATTTGGGGTGGGGAGGGTGGCATCTGGCCCAACTCTACTCACTTCTCCTCTTCTGGGCTGGGTGGCATCAGCATCATGAGGTACTCACTGCAGTGGGGGAGAGGGCAGGGTCAGCCGCTCCTGGGCTCTGCCTGCTCCACCCTTGCCCACAAACCCAGACCCCACCCAGGCTGAGGCCTCCCAAAGGAGGGCTGGGGGGTAGGTGGCAGACCCACACCCACCAAGACCTAGCTCCCCCCCCAACTTGCAGAGAAAGGACGACCACCTCTTTCCACACCCACCCCCCAGCCCTCTCCAGAGGGAGGGCCCCCTCCCATGTCCATCTCCCCTGCTACAGTAGGGGCCACAATCCCTAGGAAGGCCCCCACACTGAAGGGACCGCCCCCCGGGGCCAGTGGTAGGCTCAGTAGCTTAAGACCCTGGCCCAGCCAGTCCCACCTGGGTGACTTGACGAGCTCTGTGTTCTCAACCCCACTGGAACCCTGGCACAGCAGGTACTGGCGCTCATGCTCAGAGCGGCTGTCCTGTGGGGGAAGGGGCAGGGTGGGAAGACCCTCAGCTACCACTCCAGGCCTGCACCACCCCCCTGAGATCCTTTGCACTCCAGTTCTTACCCCTGCATCACCTTCCACTCCAGTCGCCTACTGTCTTGCCCCACGGCCAGCCAGAGGATCATATTCAACCACCTGAGCATGGCATTCAAGGCCTCTGTGGTGTGGCCTCAACCAACCATTTCCAGCTTTACAACTGAGCGGCCCCAGCAGCCATGCCCTAGGTGCCCTGCCTGTGACCATTACCATAGGACCATTAACAGCAATGACAAAGTAACAGCTAACAGCCACTGAGCACCTACTACGTGCCAGGCTAAGTCCAATGGCTTCATATACACATCAACTTACCTCATGAGGTAATTTGCCTAAAGCCACACACTAGGAAATGGCAGAGCTTCTGATGTCGGATTCTAAGGCTCTGCCAACACCAATCTCTTTCAGGAGGTTTCAGAGATCAGGAGTTGCTGTTCCCTGCCCCCCACTAGAAAAATGTTGGGGAGGCCTAGTGCATCTTTGGCTTCAACTCAATTGCTTCCCTTACTTGATACAGCTTCAAGGATTAGGTTCTAAGCCAGCACACAAGATGGAAACCTAGTAAAAAGCATGCCTGGCAGATACACGGTGAACTCAGCCAGTGGCCGAGGGCCGGTTCTCCACAGAGCACCTTCATTCAGGATCCGCGATGCATAAAGCTAAGTAAGCCCCACCCGGTGGCTGGCTAGATGCTCACACTTGAGAGCCTAAGGGATATCAAAATCCCTGACCCAGGAAACAGCCGACTCGTTTCCCAATCTCCTGCTCCCCCCGGGACACATGCTAAGTGGACCAGCTGTCCACCAGACTTTATCCCCTCTTGCTGGGCTACCACCACGTGGCCCTCACTGAACACGAAACCAGTTCAAGATGAGCCACTGAGGCCACGCAGAGCCCCGGGCTTCTCTCCCAGGCCCGCACCTCAGGGACCCTGGCTCACCCTCAGGCCATAGTAGTGCAGGTGCACCCAGGGCTCTTCAGCATGCTTCTTCTGCAGGAACTCGTAGGACTGCACACGGCGCTGGCGGGCCTGCTCGGACTCCGGACGCGAGAACCGCACCTGGGAGGGGGGCGTGGCCTCAGGCCCAGGACCCATCCTGGGCTGCTGTCCCAAGTCCCCAGGGACACTGGAGAGCCCCGCACCACTCCCACCTCCCCGTTTCCCGATACAGATCTCTTAAATTCAGTTCCAACCACATCCCTCTCTGTGACTTGCCGACACAGGCCAGGGAGCAGCTTTCTTTTGCTCCTGCCTGCCCGGAGCCCAATCCATTTCCACTGCCCCTGGTAACAGGACCCCCATTTTCTTTGGGGGAAATGCCCAGGTTCCCCTCAGTTCGGGGGAGCAGATATCCCTCCCCTGCCCCCACCCCCACACACATTCCCAGCCACAGGAGTGGGCACGTGACTCAGACCTGGACAATCCGAGCACCAAGTCCTCTTAGCCACAGGGGCTGGTTCAGGGTTGGCCAAGCCAATGAGTCCAGTCTGGGACTTTAGTTAGAAGTAATGAGAAAGAAGTTTCTTTTCCCCTGGGGTCTTGGAAGCTGGGAGGATGTGAGCCTGGAGCTGGGACAACTCTGTACCACTGGGGACAGACACCCTGCCTGAGAAAGAGGCCAAAAGAGGAAGGCAGAACCTGGAGATGGAGATGGAGAAACCAGGTCTCGATGACAGAGTCTGAGCACCTGAATCCAGCTATACCTGAAGCTATCCCTCAACTTTTCAGTAACAGAAACCAATACAATCCATTTTGGGCTCATGCCAGGTAGATTGGGGTTTCTGTTGCTTAGAGTCCAGATGGAACCAAGCCCTGGCACCTCTCTTATGAAGGGTACCTGCATAGGGGCATTGGCTGGATTATAGAACCCTGGGATTTTTTTTTTTTAAGTAGGCTCCATGCCCAACAGGGCCTTGAACTCAGGACCCTGAGAGCAAGAGCTGCACCTTCTACCGACTGAGCCAGTCAGGTGCCCCAGAATCATGGGATTCTATATGCGTCCTTTAAAGTTCACAGGCCAGTTGAGTCCCTGAGAAGGGAAGGAGGGCTCTAAGATCATTCAATAAGCTACTGAGAGAACAGGGTGAGCACCCACCCCCCCCCACACACACTGGTTAGGTCGGGATCCGCTCGACCTAAGGATATGCAAAGGCTCACAACTTAAGCCATGTCTATATGCCATCTGTGTCACTATTTGAGCATTCTTTCTTAAATACTCATTTTAACCTACATAATCGTACACAGTGGAAACTCTATAAACCATAAAAGGTCAATATTCTTCTAACAATGTCTGAAATATAGAAATAAGTATTAAGATAGAAACATTCCATCTGCGCACCACTGGAAAGACAGAATTATGTGGTTCATGAACATGGGGTTTGGCCCCACTAGAACATGGGCTTCATGGCACAGACTGTGTGGGTTCACTGGACCTCCTAGGCCCTGGTTCCTCCTCCCAGGCAATTCCAATTCCAGCCAAGCCCCAGGGTCCCAACTCTACAGAAACCCCAGGCTGCTGTCCTGTGTACAGCTAGGGTAGCTCAGCATGGGCAGAGGACAGGTTATCCCTCCAGGCTGCCCAGCAAGCAGGCTCTGAAGGATTGGACACTGTTGTATTATCTGTTCCACCCCCAGACCTGGGGTCTGCATAGATCTTCCCACCCCTTGCAGCCTGCAGGCAGCTGACCTATATATAAAGCTGGCCCCACTGTCCCCCTAAGCTGCACCCTCCCTCTTCTCGGGGCCAGAGCTCACTCACCGTGATCTGCTTCACATCTTCTTCTGCCTCATCCTGTGAAGAGTCTCCTGCTGTAAGAGAAAGCAGACTCTTCTTACAGCCTCTAATGGAGCCCCCAACTCCCCAGAAAGCCTCATGCAGGGGGATCTGCAAATTCTCCTTCTAGACAAAGGTGGTTGCACAAGTCCGCCGTTCTCAGTTAGGGGCAAGTTTGTCCACCAGGGGAAGAAAATCATTTTTGGTTGCCAAAACTATGGATGTGAGTGCTCCTGGTATCCAGTGGGTAGAGCCAGGGATGCTGCTAAGCATCCTGGAATCCATCCCTCTGCAGTTAATTTTTTTTTTTAAGATTTTACTTATTTATTCATGACAGACACACAGAGAGAGGCAGAGACACAGGCAGAGGGAGAAGCAGGCTCCATGCAGGGACCCCAATGAGGGACTTGATTCCTGGACTCTGGGATCACACCCTGAGCCAAAGGAAACGCTCAACAGCTGAGCCACCCAGGCATCCCCCTCTCAGTGATTTTTTCCATGACCAACCCATCCCGCCAAAAAGCAGACAGACAGAAGGGCCCCAGAGCTCACCCTCATTGGCAGCCTCCCTCTCTCGGTGCTTGGCGTCTGCCTTATCCAGGTAGGAGAAGCTCGGCCGAAGCTGCAGGATGCCATGTAAAGGCGTCAGGTGAAGCTCACCTGGCAGAGGAAGAAGGGCTTGGACCTGACTCTAGGAACTAGGGCTAGCCCACCCATCCTGGCCTTGGCCTGCTGCCAAAACAACCTCACCTCTGCTCTAGCCCCCAGTCCCAGAGCCTTGGGACCACCGGGAATGTGGCCATTCCCAATCCCACCTGGCCCTGAGGATGCAGTAAGCACACAACGGCATATACCTAGAGCATTCTGCTCAAAGCTGCTTCTTTAAGCCTTTAAGGCCTTCCCAACCCTGGTCACCACCACCTCCCCGCCAGTAGCTCACTCTGGCACACACAGGGCAACCCTTCCAAACACAGCCTGCTCTTCCTACCAGGCCCTTGTCAGACAAATACCAAATGATTTCACTCATATGTGGAATTTAAGAAACAAAAGAATGGGGGAAAAAAAGCACAAACACAAAAAACCAGACTCGGGGCTCCTGGCTGGCTCAGTCCACAGAACATGCGACTCTCCACCTCTAGGTTAGGAGTTTAAGCCCCACATTGGGTGGGTGTGGAGCCTACTTAACAAAACAAAACAATCACAGAACCCACAGACTCTTAACTACAGAGAACAAACTGACGGTCACCAGAGGGGAGGTGGGTGGGGGATGAGTAAAATAGGCGATGGGGAGTCAGAGCACATGTATCACAATGAGCCCTGAGTCAGGTACAGAATCATTGAATCACTTCATTGTACGACTGACACGAATATAACACTTTGTTAATTAAAACGGAGTAAAAAAATTAAAAAAAAATCGTCTCATTCTCCATATAATAATAATTTCCAGAAATGTTAAACAGTTTTGTATAAAATTAAACTTTATTTTTTTTTTAATTTTTTTTTTTATTTATTTATGATAGGTACACAGTGTGAGAGAGAGAGGCAGAGACACAGGCAGAGGGAGAAGCAGGCTCCATGCACCGGGAGCCCGATGTGGGATTCGATCCCGGGTCTCCAGGATCGCGCCCTGGGCCAAAGGCAGGCGCCAAACCGCTGCGCCACCCAGGGATCCCCTAAAATTAAACTTTAAATACTAGAAAAAAAAATTTAGAGGAGAACCTTTGTATGAACCTAGGATAGGAGAAAGAATCCTAAAGAACAAGACAGGACAGGCAACTTGGCTACAGAAAAATACAATCACGTTGGGAAGATGGGAAAAGTCCTGCAGATGGATGGTGGTGATGGTGGCACACCAACTTGAATGCCCTCAATGTCACTGAACTATATATACACTTAAAAATGGTTAAAATGAGGGATGCCTGGGTGGCGCAGTCAGGTAGGTGTCTGACTGGGTTTCAGTTCAGGTCGTGATCTCAAGGTTGTGAGGTCAAGCCCCTTGTCAGGCTCTGTGCTCAGCACAGAGTCTAAGATTCTCCTCTTCCTCTGCCTACCCTTACCCACCCTCCTGGGAGTTTGCACTCTCTAAAATAAAGAAATCTTTTTTAAAAAGTATATTTAACAATAAAAATTAGTTAAGAAAAATGAATGGTCCTAGTTTCAAGATGTGAGACACAGATGCAAAAAAGAAAGATATTTATCTGATAATACTTTTGAGTCTATTCTAGTTTGTTTCCTAAGTGTTCAGATTAGCTTCACTTACTGTTTTATGAACTCTACACTTACTTTTAATGCTTTTACGAAGATATAACTCACATGCCATGCAAAACCCACCCAATTAAAGCATACTAGTCCATGTATTTTAATATGTTCTTGGATTGTACAACCAGCACTATAATCAATTTAAGAACATTTCAGGGGCACTGGGGTGGCTCGGCTGTGTTCCACTCTTGATTTCGGCTCAGGTCATGATCTCAGGCTCCTGAGATTGAGGCCCTGTGCTGGGCTCTGCACTGGGCATAGAGCCTGTTTGGGATTCTCACTCCCTCCACCGCCCAAAGAACACTTTTGTCTCCCTAGATAGAAACTCTGAACCCATCCTCAGTCATTCCCCATTCCACATTCCTCCCAGCCACAGGCAACTACGACCTGCTTTCTCTACAAACTTGCCTCTTTAGGACACTTCATATAAATGGACTCAGAATATGCGGCCTTCTGTGAGTGGCTTTTCTCACTGAACATCATATTTTCAAGGTTCATGCATGCTAGAGGATGTAGGAGTACTTCATTCCTTCACGTGGCCAAGTAACTTTCAATGGCATGGCACTGTGCAATCCAGGCATCAGCTGACAGAACTGTTTCTACTTTTCACTATTATGAATAATGCTTCTATGAACACCCATGTACAAGTTTTTGTGTGGACAGACATTTTAATTCTCTAGGGTAGATGCTAAGAGTAAAACTGCTCATGCACAAGCACCTTGTTTTGTTTTTTTGGGGGCAGGGGGGGTTTGAGAAGGAGGAAGAGGGAGAGAGAGCGCACGATCAAGTGAGTAGGGGTAGTTAGGCTGTGCGTATGCCTATGTCCCAGGAGGACAATGACCTTGGAAGCAGTATCTCTATCAGGTCAAGATCCAAAGCCAGAAATCCTCAGAAGTGGCCTATTCCAGCGCCCTGACAACGTCACTTCCACAACCAGCCTGGCCCCTATGAGTGTCTGGTATTCGGAGAATAGCAAGCTGAGTACCCGGCTAGAGATAGCCCACCCCATCCCAGGCCCCATCCTGCTTCCTTCCAAGCGGCCTCCAGGAGCCACCGCAGCCTGGCTGCCCAGTGTAGGTACCTTGCCGGTAGAGCGCAGCAGCGTAACGGGCTGTGTTACTAGTGCTCTGGGAGGAACAGAACGTCTGCTTGTCCATCAGCTTCCTGGGAGCATGGGGAGAACAGAAGTCAAGGGGAAGGAAGCTCCAATCTCAAAGAACAGCAGGGATAGCCCTCCCTACCCCTGACACCTTCCAAAGTTCAACACCCAGGGACAGGGCGCAAGGCCCCACCTCAGCATGTGCGAGCCTCAGGAGGGAAGCTGGGGAAGAGAAAACTCAAGACCTGGTTTGTGGCCCAGGGACAAGTAGTAGGTCAAGCCCCCGCCCCCATCAAAGGAGACATTTGCCACGGGGCAGCATTGCACCAGACCCAAGCATGTGAAATTGGGACGCTGGGAGGGAGCCTGGCAATGAGGGACAAGGGCCTTGGTGTCTTACAGGCCTTTGGAAGGCTCGGATTGGGGCCCATCAGAGCTTGGATGCTGGACCCAGGGAACTCACGAGGAGTAAGTGCTGCTGTCGTCCGCACAGGCGCCGTCCACGTTGAGTGCAATCTGCTCCCCTTTGCTGCGGCAGTAGTTGGGGTTTAGGGTATCAATGGCCATCTCGAGTTCTACCTGCAGGCAACAAGCACCCCCCAGCATGAGCGACTCAGGACCCCAGAGTCCTGCCCAGAAGCAGGCCCGACACATGTCCCACAAGGGCCCCTGGGTTCAGTCTACATCAAAGGCCACAAATCCCAATCCCAACAGAAAGGCTAGGGTGCTATTTGGGGGGCAGGGAGGTCATGCAGTTCTGTTTGTCCTCCCTATTCTATCCTCCAAAATCTACATTAGGTGCCAACATTTAAAATTCAAGGGAGTTTCTCATAAATATTTTCATTTCTAACTTTTCTTGAGAAGTCAGTGCAATGGGAACTGGCAATGGGAGGCTGGAGCTGCAGCCACTCCCCTGCCCCTCCCCACCCCTGGACAAGGCACAGCTCCAGTTCTCCCCGCCAGTGTCACCCCATCCCTCCGAGGCACTAGATTTTCCACCGTACCAGAACTGCTGGGAGCACAAGCCCCCATTTCCTCTAACTCATCTTCAGCCTTATTCTCTCCTGGCCTCTCTGGAGTTGCTTACCCCCTTTCTTTCTGGAAACTTTCCTTTTTGAGCTTTCCAGGCTCTGCAAACAACTCGTTCTCCAACTGCTCCTTCTCTGGGCTTCTAGTCCCCAAGGGCCTGTCTCTTCACTTCCATCAGCCCCCACCTGTGCCACCCCTCCCCTCCTCTACCTCCATCAGAGGGCAGCCCCACCTTCTGCTGCTTGGGCTTGATCTTGGCGGAGAGGTGTGGAATGTCATCGTAGGTCATCGAGGCTGGACGCACAGGGTACTGGGAAGGAAGAGAGCCGTTATTCTACCCACCCAGCCTACCCCAGTGTTGGGCTCAAAGGCTCCACCAAGAATCAATGCCAAGCAGAGACCAGAGTCCTTGCTGGTCCCTATCTGTGTCCCCTTCATGCTGGCTCCATCCGGCTTCCTTCTGAAAGGCAATCTTCGAAGGTCTCGGACCTCCGAGGGACAAACCCAAGTTTAGGAACCCAAACAGGCCTCAGCACACAGTGCCCTGCCCTGGAGGCAAGAGGAAGGATCTTGCTGCTAGTTAGACCACCCATCCAGGTGGAGATGGAGGGGACACAAGACCATGCACGGGAAGCACAGACCGATGACCTGCCGGGTGATGTGCTGTGGCTGAAGGTGGGTGATGGGTATGTGCGAATGTATCATCCCAGTCTTTCTCTGCTGCCCTGTAAACTTTGCCGTAATAAAAAACTGCCACTGATCCACTCAGAGTCCCTTCTGGGCCTCAGTATCACCATGTGTGAAGTTGTTTTCATGTCACACTTGCTCTGATGTCACTTCTTCGCTCTGAACACACTGGAGATATTTTCCCCCATCAGCCCTTACCGGGCACCTTTCTTTTCTTCTGCACCAAACTATGGGGTGGATGGATGAGTCATGGTTTGGACCTGCCCTTGACAAGCTGTGGCAACTGTACCATGACAGCCTCTGGAGCCTCTGGAGTGCACAGAGTAAACCCTCTGTGTGAGGGCCCTTTCTGGCCAGCTCCATTCCAGCCCAAGGCAATGGAGATTTCCCAAAAGCTCACTCAACTAGCAACACAGTGACTCCCCCTTGCTTCCTGGGCTGGAGCTTAGGGCAGCGGTTGGAGAAATAGTCTGGGCCTGAAAAGGGCCTGGGCGGGGATAGGCTTGCACACAACAGTCAGGAAGCCCCTGGTCTGCCAAGATCTGGGGCAGCCCTGTAATCTCCTGATCTTGGGATGGGACGGGTGGTGGTAGAGGGCAGAGGTTCTGGAATCAGGCCTGGGTTCTGATCCCAGCTCTGCCTCTTGCAACTTGTGTACTTGGGCTGGCTCCTTGCTCACAGGGCTGCTGGGACAGGGAAGAAGGCAAAGAGAGTGGACACCGACCCAGGGCCTGGCTCACAGAGAACACATATTGGGTGTGTGTGTGTGTGTGTGTGTGTGTGTGTGTGTGAAACCATCACCATGACCACCAATCAGTTCCCCATCATTTTGCAGCCAGATAAGGAAGCAGGTTGGGAAGGCCTGAAGGACAGACCTCCAGCCCCACAGCCCATAAAGGCAGACCTCAGGGACGGGGGCAGGAGGAGGATGCTGGGTCTCTTCCCAGCTCACATATGGAGCACCACCACTGCTGCCCTGTCCCAGGCCCTGTGCACAAGTTACCAGATTCCCTGTGCCGCCTCACCTCATAGGCAACATGAAGACAAAATACTTAAAATTATAACCTCATTATTGGAAGCATAAACTAGGGCAAAAGAGTTTGTCCATTCCTCTAAACGTTAAGTACTAGATCCAGCAATTCCGCTCCTAAGGATATGCCCAAGAGAAATGAAAACACCTGTGCACACAGAAACCTGTACAGGATGTTCACAGCAGCACCGCTCATGAAAGCCCAAAGTGGAAACACCCAGACACCCACCAATGCGTGGATAATCAAAATGTGGTGTATGTATCCAGGCAGTGGGATACTACTTGCCCACAGAAAGGAATGAGGTGCTGATACATGTTACAACATGAGTGAGCTAAGAAGCCACCTATGCCATGATTCCATGTACATGAAATGTCCCGAACAGGCTGATCCATAGAGCGAGAAAACAGGCTAACAGTTGCCTCAGGATGCAGGTAGGAAGGGGGACAAAACTCCCCTAAAATAGACTGTGGAGCTGAGCTCCAGGCTGGGCCGTGTTCTGAGCACTTTAGCACAGATTCACCCACCCCCACAGGGACTCTACAGGGCAGGCAGCATTACCACCACCATTTTGCAAATGAGGAAATGGAGGTATGGAGAGCTTCAGGACCTTGCCGAGGCTCACAGCTAAGTCACAATGGAGGTGGAACTGGGCCTCCACGCGTCTACCCATCCCCAGAGCCCAAGCTTTAACCACAACATTGCTCTGCCTCTCATAGCTGCCCTGGTTTTCCCATCTTCGAAGTGAGACTATGGACCTGCCCACCCACAAAAGCCAAGAGAACCACCTCGTCCCACACTTTGGGCCTCAAACTCTAAGCAAGGCTGAGGTTTCCCAGGCCCCCTCACCCACCACCCCAACGCTCAAGGGGCGCCCTTTGTCCTCTGCTCTCATCATTACCTGAAACAGATAGAGCTTCTCTGCCAGACTTTTGGCCAAGTACACGTCGATCTGGGAAAAAGGGAAGAAGACTTAAACAGGAGACAGAACCCGGTGCCTGCCCTGGCATGTCCCTGCTCCTTGGATGTCAGTCAGGGGTCGTGGCTCCTAGAGGCAGTGTGGGGGAGGAGGCAAGAGCTCAGCTACTGCTAGAAACGGAAGGAGTCTCCAGCCTCCCTCTCTACAGCTCCCAGGGCGACCAGGTAAGAGCTCCTGGTCTCTTCCTAGGCCCACTATCACCCAATAAAAATGTACCTTCCCTGAGGCCGCTCAGATCAGGATATATCCTAGAGCCAGATTAAATGCTTTTCCAACGAGGCCAGGGTAGAGGAGAGCTTACCCACTTGCCTGCGCTTCCTCCCTGTGCCCTCTGCCACCTACCCTGGATTGACCTGTCACATCATCTTAAGGTGGTCTGCAAGCCCCTCTAAGAATGATCTGGCCCAACTCTCCTTCTCAACACTAACCACCGCTGCTTGCCCCACCATGCAGCAGTTTACCTCCCTGCTTCCCTGCTCTTCAGATGAACCATGTTCTCTCCCCCAACCAGGCCTTAAGGAGGAGTAAAGGGCATCAGCACAGGTGAAGGGCATTCTAGGTGGTGGGAGCAGTATGTGCAAAGGCCCAGTGGCTCTAGGATATGTCTGGATCTGGGCCAACTCTGCAACTACCTCCCCACCATCTGCATCTTGAGACCCCATCTTTGTCAGTCTTGCCCACAGATCTTAAGTTTTCCAAAGGCAGGATGCTGCCTTGCTCACTGTTGTCACAGCCCCCAGCACATAGTGGATCCAGTGAACAACTACTGAATGACTTCTGGGCAGGCCCAGGAAGAAGGGAGAGCTGTCAAACCCATTCATTCAATGAACAGTCACTGAGTATCTACTAAGTGACAGGCACTGAACTTGGCTTTGTAGGCACAATGGTAAAAAACAAAATCTCTCCCTCATGAAGCTTACGTTCCAATGGAAGGAGATTATGTCTAGGGGATGGGGAGTACTGTGAGCAAGCACAGAACATGGCCAAGGTAAGGGGCTTGAAGGGGCCAAGGAGGATGTACAGGAGAGCACCACATGAGGCGGGAGGGGGGGAAGTGAGAAATGCTGGATCAAGGATTGGGGGAAAGGGAAGGGTTATCTGCAGGCAGTTATCTAGAAGAAGAGGGTTCCATGCAGAGGGAACAGCTTGTGTTAGGGGTCCCTGGGATGCCAAAAGATGCCAGGCCGGCCTGAAGATGAAGGAAGGGCCACAGTCCCACTGCCTAAAGCCCTGGGCCGGGGCACTCCTCCCTGGTAGCCCCAGCAGAGGGTGGGAAGCAGCAGTTACCTCCTGTACGACTGGGTCATCCTCTTCATTGGCCATACTAGGGGGAGCCAGCCGCACGATCCTCAGACTCAATCTGCAAGGGAGAGCAAGAGGCCTGAAATAAATGTCAGTCAGCCACGCCGCCAACACCCCTGGGTGCCACCTATGCTGCAACAGGCCCTGCTCTGGGAGAGGAGAGCCTGAGATAAACAGAACCTGACCTTCTTTCTATGCCTTTCCTGGAGTCAACACAGACAGCCAATTCTATACCTCCACTGGCCAGAATCTAACAAGGAGAAACCACCAGAGGGTGCAAAGAGGTGGACCCACGGCAGCATGTATCGGCTACACCTGTGAGGAAATACATGACCAGCTTTAAGGGTCTTTTGACCACTCACAAAAAAGAGGTCACTGCCAGGCAGGAGGATGGAGACTGGCTGGTCTACAGCCATGATGAAAACCTTGAGCACCAACTGGGGGCCATAAAGGGCAAGTGTTAAGAAACTTGCCCAACAGGAAGAGCAGGGAGTCCCAAGGCTTTCCAGGGGGACTGACTCTGGTATCTGACTTTTAAGCAAACTTGAAGCTCAACTCTGTATGAGAGGATTCTCCTGTTTTGTGTGTGACACAAAATGACCCTCTTCCCAGATTTTACTCAACACAACTCTGCAAGGAGGCTTGGGTGTACCCACTTTCTAAGGGGAGCTGCAGGGATGGTGTGCATGGCTAGCCAGAGAGCAAGCCAGCCGACGGCCCGGGATTCCAAGCCAGGCCAGGTAACAGCTACAGGTAGGGGAGCTAAGAGGGAAGCAAGAGCCTTCCTGCTGGGGAAGACAAGGGGGCATCTGGGCTGAGCCCTGAAGGACAGAAGGATCTGGACAGGCCATGACTCCTGAGAGCAAGAGGGACCCCAGGTGACTGGCAATACCTCAAGCACCTTGAGGGGAGAAGGCTGCAGGTCTCCTCGGCAGAGGGGAACTAACTCACCCAGGGTGACTCTTATTCCCGCAGGGAGAGGATGTTCATGTGGGTACCTCCGGAAGCAGCCCCCAGACCCCTAGTTTCTGGTAAGACCATCATGATTTGTCTTATCTACTTAACACCTGAGTTATTCAATATTTAAAAGGACCTAATACCTTCACCATGGGTGGGGCTCAAGGTTATCTAAGCCCTCTGCCTGTGGTATACCACCTGGAATCACTTGGCGCATTCCATGTACGTATTCCAAACTCAGACGGCTCAGCCCCAACACCAGCCTCTTCCCCGATGCCTCTGTTCCCCTCACCCCACACCAGCAACTCCTGTCAGTTCCACCCTTAAAGGAGGTCTGAAGTCCAGCCACCCCCACTGTCACCGCCCCAGCCCCCATCCAGCCGGCTCCACTGCCTGCCTGTACCACAGCAATTACCAGAATGGTCTCCCTGCCTCACCTGAGACCCTGCGATCTTTGCCCAACCCCACAGCCAGTGCCAGTGATCCCCTGAAAGTCACATCAGAGCTCACCATGCCTCTGCCTTTGAGGAACTCCCGTCCCGCCCAGGACAGAAGCTCAAGTCTTTATGACTCACCTGCTGCCACCACCACCCCTTTACCTCTCAGACCTCCTCTCCCACAGGCATCCTTCCTCTCCCCCAACCTCGGGCCTTGGCAACCGCTCTACCCTGAGAGCCTCATGGCTCCCTCCCTCACCTCTTCCAAGGTTTTGCTCAAATGTCACCTTGTCACAAGACCTTCCCTATCTACCGTATCCAAAACTGCAATACCCTTCTTCAATTCCCTTCCCGGGTCTGGTTTTCCCCAAAGCACACATTACCACCCGACAGTTATTATTTTGTCTCCACCCTCACTGCCAGTAAGTTACACAAAGGCAGAGATTCTGGTCTATTTTGTCCCTTGCTGTACCCTCCTTACCCCACAGCAGGCACTCCCTACACACCTGTTGTCTGAATAAATAAGCCACAGGAAGGCTATTTATTAGGGAGCTACCAAAGATTTTTGAGTGGAGGAAGATGTGGAGGGCCCAAGAAGGTAAAACTAGAGGGAAGATGCTACCTCAACAGTGACGGCTTGAAGACTGGATGAAAATCAGAAGCCTGAGACTGACAGTTTTAGGTTCCTGCTCTGGCCCAGACAGAGGGTGATGGATGACAGAGCCCCAGACCCCACCCCATCTGCACTGGCCACCAAGCACCACAGATGGAGGTCAAGCACCTAGATCCTCTGTGCCTGGCTCTGTGGACAACTAAGAGACCAGGGACTTACACACGAGTCAGGGAACAGGTCATATATGAAGAGGTGTGCCCTGGGAGGTTCCCCAGACACGATCATTCCTGAGCAACTGGCTTTCTCAGCTACTGTTGGGCTCTGCTAACCTCTCCCCAGTCACTGAGGAGCTCAGGGAGGATGAGATCCCTGGGGCCCCTGCTCCTCCTCCAGCTGGCACATGTGATGAGGGTAACAGGGCTCTGGCTTCCCTTCATCCTCCCAGCCGACATCAACCAACCAGGTAGCTTTCCAACTTTTCGGCCCAAGGCCTATACTAAGAAATCCACTCCATATAAATGACTCAGAACATAGACACAATTAAGTAACTAAGCTAAGGTTTCAAACAACCATAACAGTCCCTACTATCCATGATACAGTGTTGTTTTCGACCTTCACTCATTAAAATTAAACATGCTGGTTACAATCCCTCAAAGTGATTTCACATCCCACCAGCAAAACTTTTTTTAAAGTAATCTCTATGCAGAACATGGGGCTCAAACTAACCACCCCGAGATCAAGAGCTACATGCTCTACTGACTGAGCCAGCCAGGCACCACTCACTAATAAATCTTGATCCATGATTAAAAAGTACTGCTCCAACAAGTCTCTCTGGCATTCCTCTTTTCTACCTCCAACCCTCCCAGAAACAGCCAGAGCTGTCCTTGCGAAAGAGTAAATCATATCATTCTCCTGCTCAAAACCCTTCACCTGCCACATAGGATAAAACCCAAACTTCTCTCTATGGCCTCAAGGCCCTGTAAGACCTTGTCCCTGCCTTTCCCCTCACCATCTACATAGCCAGGTAGCCACCTGCTGGACCTCCAAGAGGCTAGGCCCCAGTCTGTCTCAGAACCTTTGCAAGTCATCTACTTCTCCCTAGTCTTTTCAAAGCTGGCTCCTTTTCCTTAGATATCACCACCACCACCCCCTCCAGGAGAGAGGTTCCCTTGATGCCCATCTTCAAGAGCTCCCCCAGTCAACCGGCTCCCAGTCACTACCACCTCTCCCTGTTTTCTTTCTTTCGTGGTTCTTACCATAATCTGCAACTAGCTAGTCTATGTGTGTTTGTGTTGTCTGCCTTCTGCACTAGAATGTAAGCTCCACAGGGGCCTCTCAGTTACTTCAACCATAAAGTGGAGATGATTACGCTTTACTTCATCAAGTTGTTATAAGGATTATTATCTCTTTTTAAAATCCATGCTGCTCTCCCAATACCTAGAACAGTGCCTGGCATGAAGCAGACACTCAATATAGGACACAAAGAATAATGAAGTAAATGAACGTGTGGAATCAGGCAGTTACAGACCATTTACCCAGTGAGCCTAACTCAGCCCCATCCAGACACTGGTGGACTCATGGTTTGGGCCTTATGGACACTTGAGGAACAGACAGGGGCTGTGGCCAAGGCAGCAGCAGACCTCCTGGCCATAATGTACTCTGTGGCAGTGACCATGGCCTTGAGCTCATGAAATTTCCCCCAGCGGGGAGCTGTCAACAAATGGAAAGGAGACAAGGACGCCAGGTAGAGCTAAGAAGGGGTACAGAGCAAAGGAAATACCTGAATGCCCCACCTGGGTGCATCCCTGTGCACCTAGGGATCTAACCTGTCAGCCAATCAGAAATTCGGAGGCAACTCCAGAGGCTCTTTAGCTACTGGAGAGTGGACAAAGTACAGCAGGGTCAAGTCAAGAGGGTCTCAAGGCAAACAGTCTCAAGGCCTGGATTCTAGCTGCCTGTGAGCCTCTTGGGCAAGGCATCTCCCCACTCTGGGTCACCTCGGCTTTTACCTCCGTTAAAGACTTAGCCTGGAGAAACAGAACCAATTAACCCTTAACTGAGCATCAGACCCTACTCCAAGGACTTCACACTACCGTCACATTTCTCAACAGTCCTCTAAGTCAACATGCATCAGTCCCAATTAAGAAATGAGGGAACTAAGATTAAGGGAGTAGGTAATTTCACCCAAGGTCACAGCACTGGAGAAGAGCAGAGCCAGGGGGGAAACCGGGGTCTGGCTGATGTCAACGATCCGGATTCTTAACCACTGTGCTGCACACCTCTCGCATAAAAGGCAGTATGGGATAGTGGTTAAGAGCCTGGACTCTCAAAACACAACTACACCGGTTCAAATCCCACCTCAACTACTTACCATCTGAGGCCCACCTGGGATGCTTCCCTCTTAAAGGGTCTCACTATTTTCATCCCTAAAATGGGGATAATAAAAGTACCAACCTCCCGCGAGGGCTGCGGTGGGAATTAGACAAGGTGGTAGATGTAACCTGTGGGGGGGAGCTTTGCTATTTACTCGGCAACGTGTGTTTTCTTCCCAGGTCGGAGGGAGCAAGCACAACGCTGCCGAGCTGGGACGTGTCGCGTCTTACCTGAAGCCCTCACCACAAGCCTACGGGGTAGGTTAATTTTATTATCCCCATTTCACAGATGAAGCAGCTCTGTTGACTGCGAAGACCTCCTCTACGGCCCAACGACTGTAAAGCTAACACAAGTCAACGACCTTGCTGATGTGCTGGCTTACTCGACGTGCTTCCGGACACCTCCTCCAAGCCGGCGTCGGGGCCCGATCCGCCGCCCGGCGCGGGCTCTCGGGGGCCTGAAGCGATGAATGGGCAGCGCCGGGCCCAGCCGGCGTCAGGGGCAGCGGCGAGGAGGGCGCCCGGGCAGGCTTGGGGACGCCCCCCCGCCGGCCCCGCAGGCCGGCCCGCGCCGTCCGGCGGGTGTCAGGCCCCCTTCTCACGCGCCCCCCGCGGCCATCGCCACCGGCCGCCGCGCTGGCGGGACCCGGCTGCCCTCGGACAGGTGCTCCCGCAGGAGGCCCGCCTGCGCCGGGCGGAGCAAGGCAGCTGGACCCTGAGTCAGCGCCGGCAGCCCTGCTGCGGCACCCCCGACTCCAGGGCCGGGCCGAGCTCGCAGAGCTGGGCCGGGTCTCCGGGGGGAAGGGGGGCCCCGGCTGCTCACCCTTCCCGCCCGAGCCCCGGGAGGCCCCCCAGCCCCCGGGCTCGGCGCGGCGCGGGCCTCCCGGCCTACCGGGCAGCCCAGCCCAGGCCCACCTCGCGAGGGCGGCCCGGCTCCAACCGACGCGTGCGCTGCCTTCTCGGCACTCACCTCTCCGCGGGGGCCGCGCGCGGGGGGCGGCAACGGCCCAGGTACCCGCGGGCTGCAGAGGCGGCGGCGGCCCGGCTCTCCTCAGGCAGCGGCCATGTTGCTGGTGGAGAAACTCCAGCGGACACGTGGGGGGAGCGGGGCCGGGCCTCGCGCTTCCTTTTACCCACAATGCCCCGCCCCGGCGCGCGCAGACCCGCCCCCTCCGCCGCTCCATTCATGCGGGCCGCCCGCCCGGCCTGGCAGCAGGGGGCGCTGGTGACCCGGCAAAAGGGCAGAGAACGGCCCGCTGCCAAAGCGGTAGGGCCAAAAGAACAAAAGCGTCCTGGCAGCGGTGGGATTCGAACCCACGCCCCCGAAGAGACTGGAGCCTTAATCCAGCGCCTTAGACCGCTCGGCCACGCTACCGTGCTGCTGAGTGGGCCTTCCGGGAAACTATTTAATACTTCCCGAGCAAATTTCATTAATGTTTCTCGCGTTTCGCTTGTTTTTGATAGATTTTGAATGTGTCATGCGTTTAAAGGAAAATATTTCCTCTGATATCTACACCCACATTTTTTTTTCCCCCACCCCGAACAGGTTTCAGAGCGATAAGCTGTTTAAGAATCCGTGTTCGGAGTCGGCCTTTGAGCCCGGAGACCTCGGAGCGGCCACGTATCCCCGGAGGAATCCTGGATTCCGGTAGTAACTCGCCCCGGGGGCTCGGAAGGCCAAACCCGGAGAGCTCGCCTGAGCAGCTTTCTCTGGAAAGTTAGGTGTTTTAATTTTTAGGTACTCAAATAATAAATGAAGTATTACAAAAATATTAAAACGTTGCAGATAAGGCCCAAATATGCACTTTTACCTTTGACCCTAAGTCCCATCCACAGAGGTGACCATTATTATCAGCTTACTGTCTGTCTTTCTGGGTTTTTTACTGTGAATTTATGTGGCTGTCTTCATATGGATACACAGATACTCAGAGAAAAATGGATATTTTGTTTTTATTGTGAATGGGTTTTTACATAAATATTATACTATTACTCTTGGTCGGCAACTGTTTTGTTTTTTGTTTCACCCAAATATACTTTTAAAATATCAATCCATGTTGATGGAAATAGATATTTAAAAATACAGAAGATTGAACACCAATAAAAAATAAATTTATTATTAAAAAAATTTAAAAAATAAATAAATAAATAAATAAAATAAAAAACATAAAAATACAGAAGAAAAAATAAATAAATAAAAATAAAAATACAGAAGAAGTACAAAGAAAAAATAATCACCCACATTCCCACCATCTAATATGGTAACATTTCACTTCCAATTCTTTTCCTATGTACATTCTTTTTTCTTAAAAGCTACTCAGGAAACGATATGAATATGCTGTCCTTTAAAAAATCCATTTAAAAATATACTAGATCATTAAAAAAAATTTTTTAAATAAAAATGTCTTAGACCATTATAAATTAAAGATAAAACCTCCTTCCCAAACATCCTCCCTCAGCTATGACTATTATGATTTGATGTGTATTCAGTTTCTTATACTTTCATATCTATAATATTTATACCTATAGATACAGATATTTCTGTGTGTACATATATATATACATATATTCTCATGAACAATATATAAAATGATCTTCCATATGTTTTCCATGTTCATAAATATTACAGTACCAAGATCATTCTGAATCATGTTCTTCTACTCCAACATTATGAAGTCTAACCAACACACAATGTGAATGTAAGTTGTTTATAATGTTATATTTAAGTTTCTGGTTAATATCCAGTTGGCACACACCCTAACATTTGGGCATTCCATATTTCTCTTCATCTTTAATTCCTCCTAAACTCAGTTTTTTCCCCCAACTACCTTTTTAACATAAATACTGATATGCGAAGATTTCATTGCACAGGGAGAGTTTGTTGCTTTTAAAAGAATTTTTTGAAAATATGGAAGCAGCCATCTATTGAGGACACAGGCTAGCTATTGTGGGGGATTCAAAGCTAAATGGGGAATAGTCCTTAAGATCAATAGAAGCATTAATCTAGTCACAGTGTTTTAGTACTAGGAGGGACTTTGTGAATTTGTGCTGGGTTTTCCAAAAGGAAATTTCCCCACAGTGAAGGAAAATTGCTAGAATATCTGCCTAATCTCACTTTTCTAAGAATTGCCCGACCAGCGCAGAGAGCGGATCCCTGGCAATCACCTTTTGTGCCCTGCCCTGCCCTTGCCACACCATGGCCAGTGGGCTCTATGGTAGATACAGGACTCAAGTCAGGCCAATCAGATTCTCTTTTGAGAATGTAAACTGAGACATGGTGATTTCCTGATTTATTAATTTGATTAGATTTGACACAGAGTGTTAAGTGTTAGTGACTAAGACTGACTGGAACAAGGGATGTAGGGAGATTTGAGGTGGCCCTATTTTGTGAAATAGATTGGAGAAGTAGAGAAAGCCAGTACATGGGGGAGAAAGAATGATACGATAAGAGTGGAGTCGTAGAGAAATCCTCAGGGGTTTTCCAGCTCCCAGCAGAAGATCCTTCCTAGGACCCAGTGGGATTCACAGTCTCAGAGACATCCTTTTATCATTGCAATGAATGCCCCCTTTCTGCTAAAGCTAGTGCTACCTGGTAGCTGCCTATTGTAAGAAATAAACCCCCGTTGTATGGTAGGGGCTCAAATAAAGCTAGAGATATTTCTGACAGAACATTTTGGAGCAATTCAGGTCTGTCCCTGGAGTTTCTTGCACTCTTGCAGCCCCATTACACAACTGTCTGTAACAATCAGGTGTGAAACTAATAAGCAGGAGACCCAGAATATTTCATCAGAACTCCCGGACCCTCAGGGTCCCAGCAGCTTTAAGGAGGGGGGCGGGTGGAGGGAAGGGCTGAAATCCTGACTCTCCTTTGGTGTACCTCCTTCTGTGCCTCTGGTTAATGGGGCACAGGTGGAAGGGGGGAAGCACCACAGACCAAACACCACCCATCTGTACCCTGACCCCAGTCTAGGGACTGTCAGGTGAAAGCTGACTGTCTCTGTATCCTAACTCCTCAGCTTCGGGCAGTGGGGATCCACGTGGGGACTCAGTCCTGGATCTCCTCTATTCTTCACTCCCTTGCTCCTATAAAAGAGAAGTTATCCCAAATCTGGATGGAGACCAAACTTTTCTCCACAAATCTCTTTCTGGAAAGAAATGAACATTCCTGATAAAAACGCTTAAGCTTCTTCTTATGAAATTTAATAGCATTGAGATTTGTACTGTGAAGCTAGTTTTCTACCCACCCTGTTGACAATCATCTATCAGGAGCGTAGTGAACTTTCACAGAATATTCTTTTCTGCTTAATTTAATCATTCTTTCCTATATACTGGATCTACCAGAATAAAGGCCAAAACAGTGTTTACTTTGTGCAGGGCGGGGTAGGGTGGGTGAAGGATATATTGCCTGGGAAGGCCCAATGGAGCTTTCTGGGGTGCCGAAAATGTTCAAAAGTTCACCAAGTTGTACACTAAAAATTGTGCAATTTCCTCTATATAGGTTGTACTGTATTAAAAAGTAAACTTTTTGAAATCTCTTCTCCTAAATATGAATCTTTGAATTAGCCTCCCAGAGGATCCATGCCTACAGCAAGATTATAATACAATTTTGAGATAGGCTTGCAACAAAACCATACGAAAAGTTTAACACTCGCCTCTAAAACTTCAGGGCCCTTTTTCCTCTTCCTCCCCAAAGGGAATACTCTGGATGAGAACCTGTTATTTTTGCCTTCCCAGAATCCTTTCCCCCATTTTCTGGTTCCAACACGGATATTTTCCTTTGGGAAACACTACTGCCTGTGGTCTATGAGGGACAATCAAACTGCTAAGGGGGTAGGCCAATCAGAGGCTTTAGCCTTGGGAATCTGAATCTGAATCTGAATCCAGTAGCCATCAATAGCAGGAGGGCAGTAAACTGAACTTCCAGACCATCTGTTACTTTCTGCTTCTTAGATCTACATACTTGACCTAGCACCATTCTTTCTGAGGCTTGATTCTTTCAATTTTACCTTCCATTCTGTAAGCTGCATACACCCCCCCCCAAAATGGCTTCTTTGCTAAAGTTACCCAGCATTGAGTTACCCACAACCAAGGCAGCCACAGGATCATGTAGGCTTCCCAAAAAGGAACTTGGTTCTTGCAGGAGACACATTGGCATTGCATGCAGAGCATATACCCTTAGGATGATGCCCAGAGCCCCCCTTTTTTAAACAGATGCTTAATTGGAAATAAAACTAGGGCATAGGAGTGAAGTAGGGCTCTCCCTGGTAAAAGAGGACATATGGTCACCTTATACCTTGACTACTCAAAGATCCACAGGCCTGAGTGAGATGTCCTGTGTTGAGCCACATCCAGCAGCAGGCCCTGCTGCTGGTGGCACCCTTCCTCTATTCCTCTAAAACTCTTTCAGTTTTGCAAACATGCTCCCTGGTGTCCTGGAAAGGTACTGGTGGGAAATAACACAACAGCCTCAGTTGGCATTTTTTATGTTGGAACGATGATGATATCTGCTCTTAGAAGCTTCTTTCTTAACGACTGAAAGCATTCTTGGCAAATGCTTTTGCCATGGAACCCCATGAAGCTTCCTTTTTCTCATCTGTGAAATGATTACAATACTACTGTCGTTGGTCACCAGGTTAGAGATAACTGTATGTGCCTAGCCCAATGTCTGACACACCATATATCGTGGTTGAGACTTGTGTTTCACATTTCACTATCTCTACTATTGGCCTGTATCTTGTGATCAATGGCAGGCAGTTTACTTTCACTGATTTTTTTTTTTTACTTACTGATTCATAAAATAATGGTTGTTAAGATTGGTTGTTAACCAATAATGGTTGTTAACATCTTAAGATGTTAAGATTGATGGTGTCTTAGATTCAGTAAAACAGTAGATGCTCACTACATTAATTACTATCACGAATTTTTAACTTAGCGACTTTAGTATTTTTAACTTAGTGGCTATTTTAAATTCTTTTTTTAAAGACTGAGAACGAGAGAGAGGGAGAGAGAGAGAGAGAGAGAGAGAGAGAAAGCACAAAAGGAGAGAGAGAAGCAGACTCCCCCCTGAGCAGAGAGCCCAGTGTGATATGGGGCTGGATCCCAGGACC